CCTCTCTTGTTTCCGTTGTGTAACTAGTTATGAAAATTTTTCAGGGCATAGATGAAGGGCCAGTGACCAACTCCACTCTTCTACTGGTTTCCCAGATCTCTCAGGAGAACTGTGAAAGGATTTTGTAAAGATGAGCAAAACTCAGTCTGCCAAGCACTTCAGGATGGAATTGGGCCTGGTCCTAGGAGAGGTGAACAGACGGAGCCAGCAGAGACGTGTGCCATTCTGCTCTCTGCATGGTGGAGGGGAAGGAAAGGCACCATGAGGCAGAGGCAGTCCTTGGACACTGGGAAGGAAGATGGAATCATCTTTGGGGAAGAGCATAACAGGGTCCTCTATAAGAGGCTATTTTCCTTTACTTACTTAGTCACTGAAGAAAATTCTCCAAAACTTAAAAAAAAAATAAAATGAAATCATTTATAGACTAGATCACTTGGATTTTCAGTGGGAGCAATTCAGTCCCAAATTTATAGGCAGGGATTGATTTTTTTTTTTTAAAGAACTGTATGTCATTTCCTATCAGTTGAGTCAACCAAGTAAGAAATTCATGTTGTGAAACCCATACAAGGTAGCTGGGCTTATCACTTTATGATCACTCTACTTTTGCTCACTGAACATGGGATTTGGCCTGATAGTCTGCTTTTCGGAAGAATATGTGGTGCTGGGCCTTGTGGGAAATGATAATACACTAAAGACATACCTGTTACAGCATCTGCTTAGTCTTATTTTTCTTTTAGTATGCATGTGTTTGTGTGTGTGCACAGGTGTGGAAGTACATGTGGTAGAGTTCAGAGATTGATGTGGAGTGTCTTCCTCAATCATTCTGTATTTTTGAGACAGAGTCTCTCACTGAACCTGAAGTTCACCAATTTGCCTATGCTGGCTGCCCAATGAGTTCCAGAGGTCCTCTGTCTCTGTCTCCCAGTGCTGGGATTATGGGTATGTACTACTGTGTCCAGCCCCTCAAACATGGGTGCTGGTGACTGAACTCAGGTCCTCAAGCTTATATAACAAGCACTTTACCAACTGAGCCATCTCTCCAGCTCCATTATAATTTTCCATCACTTTTACATGGTTTCTTCTTTTCTACTGATATTAAAACCCACATATGTTATGATAGCAATTATTTCTAGCTCCTATAGTGCTTTGTGGTAGCTGTCTCAGGCACCCAGGAAACAGTCACTGGTACAAAACAACTATAGACTGGCATGCCTGGGGACAGTACTATAGAAACCATAGCTATGAGCATGAGTGATAAATTCCAAGAGGGCATACACTAGCTATTTCTAGAGCAGTAACATCAGGCATGGTATGCTTGTTGAGTACAAAAGGAATAAATGGAATTATTGAGGTTTATGAAATGTTCATAGTGAAAATAATTCAGGAATAGGCACTGATATTTTGACTCTCCAAATGATAAACCTTTTCCCTTTTGAACCATTATCTTAAATATTGCTGGGGAAAAAAAAAACAGGTTAGATGAGAATTTGTCAAAGAGGTCATTCAGCAAAATTCAGACAGGAATCCAGGTATGGTGATAACACCATAATCCTAGCATCTGTGAGGCTAGAGCAGGAGCAGTCCAAGTTCAAAGCCATCCTGAGCTACTGATTAAGAGTGTGTCTCAAGAAACCAAAACCAACAACAGCAACAACAACAAAATTAGCCAAGGTGACCTATCTTATTATTTACTTTCTTTTCTGCTCAGTTAGCACTACTTAAAACACATGGTAGGGAAAATGAAGACTGTCCTTTGAACCTGGACTATTTTGGGTGATGAACTTTTATAACATCCAAGACCTGTGATAAAAAATGTACTCTTCTGAACCATACTGCTTATGTTGGGCATCCATACATGACCTGTTAACAACGAAGAGATGTGGCAAGGATCCTGCCCGTGCCCACTGCCTCTCTGGTTCTGGGTTTTTCTACTAGATAGTTAAGAAACAACTGATGAGAACGTCAAGCTACAACACTGGCGACCATGGTACACTCAGATACAGAGGATGCCAAGGCTTAAACAGATGCACACTTAGTGTCTGCAAACAAAACCATGTTGTTCAAAGGCTAGGCTGGCTGGTGAACCAGATGCAATGACCATCTCCTGCAAACTCTCACCTCTGGTAAACATAACAGAGGTAATCACACTGTCTTGGAGTGAGCTAAATTCCTGTACAGAACAGAGTCTGGAAACTGTGAGGCTGCTTATTTCTGAAGGAACGTTATCATCTTTGACCAAATTCTTCAACGACCATTTTCAGTTGACTGATGATGCAATGGCTTCAATCTACTTGTGCTAACATGGTAGATATTCTGTCACGTTGAGCATGGTTCCTGGTTTTATGCTTTAGCCCCATAAACAACAGAGGTAATTTTCACAGGCCACAGAAGATACGTTCAGTAAATACACAAGGTTTCATTTGCTTATTCTGGGTGCCCAACTTTTAAACTTTCGTGTTTTTTGTTGTTTTTTATTGGGCTGGTCTCCTAGGCTGGCCTCAAATATGCTATGTAGTCAGTGTGACCTTCAACTTGCAAGCTCCTGCTACGCAGCCACTCCTGGTCTGTGCAGTGCCGGTGACTGAGCCCAGAGTTTTGTGCATGTTAGGCAAGCACTCTATAAACTGAGCTACATCCCCAGCCACTGAATTTTTTAATCATTTTAAAGAAATATATATATATATTGTGTGTGTGTATATATATATATATATATGATTTTAACAATTTTTAAGATTTTTTAGGGAAAAGATTAAAAACCCCACGCTTTTCCCTCTGCCCCAGAACTCTGGCATAATCTATACTACTTGCATCATCAGGAAGAGCAAATCTCTCAGGTCAGTTAACACATGTGGACCACACATTTGTGACTTTATAGGTGACCGTGGTGAGGTGCTATTTAACAGCACTGCAGGATCTTAAACCTGTATACACTAAAGAAAACTCAGCTATTACTGCATCCAATTCTCTCACTTTTTGGTAGAGTGAAGTGAGGCCCTGGGACATGTGCTTTACCTGGGGCTCAAACCTAGATTGCATCCTTAGCCTTTGCCAAACTTACTGATGCTCCAATCTTTTGGTTATTACTCTCAGGAGCACAAATCAGATACAGATTTAAAAACTGATCTTGGAATAGCATAATTATGATAAATCTGTCTGACTATACAACCCTAAGTGTGCTTTGTGCTCTAAGGCCAAACACAAATGTCAGAAGGTTATTCGGAGAGCTATTAAAGTATGATTCTAAAAAACAGAGAGCAGATTCCTGCTGATGACATCACATTTCATCATCCATTTAAAGGATATAATTTCATAATTTCTGATTTGACAAGATTAAAAGTGACTGATACTTCAAAAAATTTCAATTTCTCAGGCACACAAATCTAGTTAACAATACAACAAAACCTAAGAACACTTAAGGTTTTCTTATTTAAGCTAATTCTTTGTAATAAACTTCATTGTCAACTTGACTGGATGTGGAATCTCCAAGGAGATGCCTCTGGGGTGTCTGTGAGGGTGTTTCCAGAGAGGTATAACTGATGAGAGAAGACCCATTCGCTGAATGTGAGCAGCACCATCTAATGAGCTGAGTCCCAGAGGGAACAAAAACAGACAAAGCTAGCTGAGCATCAGATTCATCTCACTCAGCTTCCTGACCGCTGATGCGATGTGACCAGCTGTCTTATACTCTCACATTACGCCTTCTTTGCCATGGTGGGTGACCCTCAGTGTGTGAGCCAAAATAAATCCTTCCTACTGTAAATTGCTTTGTCAGATAATCTGTCACAGTAACAAGAAAAGGAATGAACATACTCTTCCAGCCAGTGTTTTTAGAAAGCCCTATTTTTAATTTAAAATTCTTTGACCATTTCATACATGTGTATAACACACTTTGGTCACTCTCACCCCATACCTTCCATCATCTCCTACTCCTCTTCCCAACAAGCCCCTCCTACTTTCCCAACCTCTTCTTCCCAACAAGCCCCTCCTACTTTCATGTTTTGTTTTGCTGTGCGGCGCACTGAGTCCCATTAGGGCTGGAAAGCTGCGTCATTTAGTGAAACAAAGCATAAGTCATGCTTTTGAACACTGAGTCTTCTCTGTCACCCACTTTCATGAAGGAGTACATGATATGGAATAAAACTCAGAGGCAGATCCGGAAAACAATGAAAATCAAGTTACATTTCAAAGACCTGCATGTTGCCAAAACTTCGTCATGTTAAGTGCTGATGATTGAGAGACTGGAGCGGAGACTGACAGGCAACTCCAAAGTAATGACGATGCTGCTCTGGTGAGCCTTCCTTGTATCTATTACTGTACTGGGCTTTACTCATCTTCTCACTTGGGTAGAATAAATTTTGCATATCGATAAGCACTTCCCCTCCCTTCACAGTGCTGTTCTGAAGCAGGCTAGAGCGATTTATGAACACTGAACAATGCTGCTTCTAGCAAAAGCACCTCAGGATAACCAATGCCCAGGCTGTGGGATATTTGGTCTTCACAGTTCTGAAAGCTCCTGAGGTACTACCATGTTGCTCAAAAGCTAAGAAAACCAGAGTTTCTTTAAGCGCATCATTCCATAGGGCAGAAAGTACAGATGGCACAGAAACTGCATACCCAGAGGAATGTGCTTGGCTGTAGTAATCCCTGTCATTCAACATTTACCCCATTCCAACCCACATTAAACCAGAGAGTAATACAAGCCAAAGGAAATCTCAGTAAACTGCAGCCAGAAGATCATGTCAGCCCCACAAACTCCTACACAGAGTTCTACCAACTTGGGAATGACAACAGAACTGAGAGAATGAGAAACGTCTTCCTAACTACCCAATTTAGACAATTCAAAAGAATCCATTCTTGCATGAGAGAGAAATAAGAAGGAAAAATTAGAGCCTGTTCTTAGGGCACATTAAGCATTAACTCTTTTAATTCCCCCTCTTTCAGGTGCTTAATCGGGACAGCTGTATTCTATAGAATGTCATTATAATGACATGACCCAGTACCTCCGAATGGCCACAGTGAGGGCCTCTGGTGAGCTGGCACAGGGACAGATGACCTCCTGTCGAAGGCCTTTACTCTGGAAGACATTGAGAAAGGCATCACAAGAAGAAATAGACCCTGGAGAGAAAGAGGGACAATGGTCAGACAAGTGTAGCCCTGTAACTGACAAAAGTATCCCATAATGTCAAATAGCTTTGAAGTTAGGATTAGGCATAAATGGAGTTAGGCAGCATGGAGAGATAATTCATTTAATACAATTTATTATGTATGTCACAATGAAAGATGTTCTCAATGCAACTTCTATACATTAAGACATTTCTGCTAACTGATAAATTTACTTTAATAACTTCTCTGAAACCTAGTCTGCCATTTTTGGTATGCAAGTTCCAGAAAACATCAATCTAAAAAAGAAACCTTTCTCCTGTTTGAACCTGCATGACTAGGAAACTTTTAAACACTTGGCTTTCACATACAGACTTGTTTTTGCAATATGTAGTTCTATAGTGGTATGTATTAAAAACAATTAAATTAGCTCTCAGTTTATCTAATTACTTTAGAAATGAAAGAATCATTTATAAAACTGAGTTATCTGTTTCTAAGCTCACTTTTATCCATCAGGCATCAAGAAAGCATACATTGCTTTGGTTTATACATATCACTGGGGCACAGTTTACAGATATGGCCAGAAAAAAAATCTTTCATTCAATTTACTTCTATTGTACATATGGCTCCTGACTTTACAGACTCTTATCATAAAAACTGGCTAGCTGGCTGCTTGTTTCACTTTATTAAAATATTTCTCAGGCATATAAAGAATGTTTTGTGAAAGTGTTAATTTACTTTTTCTGAGCATTTTTTTGGTTGCAGGATTTTATAACAAATCTTTATTTAAAATGGCAGATTAATTTACTGATCAATAAAATTACTGTATGCCATAAAATATTTCTTGAGCTCTCATTATATGCCAAAGAACTATACTTAGGGACTGATCCATTTAAGCCTAATAAATGAATACTAGTGTACAGTTGAGAAAGGATTCAAATGGGAAATTTCTCTTACAGAATCAGGATGTTTCTTTTGGCTCCAGGCCTGTGGTCTATAAACACTGTCCTTAATCTCTCTGCAATCTTGTCTTTATGAGTAACACTGCTTGGCTATTTTAAGATGGTTTCAATCAAGATACAGATTAGAAGAAACATCAAAGTACCAAGAATGACATGTGGAAAACAAGACGCTCTGAGGCTTGCCCATCTTTGAATCGACAATTGAGGCATCACTTACAGGGATTTGCTCCATCAGCCACTATTAACATGCGGAGGGACGACAGGTTGACATCTCTCTGATCTCTGTGGGCTACAAGTGCCCAGTGCATGTCTCTTGATTTCACACAAGCCACTTTTGCTATAAAGAAAAGCAGAAGTTATCATGTGTCACCATCAGACTATGTGTGTTGAAAAAGACAGGTAATTGTGCTTCATGGCGTATGGTGACTCATCTCCGCCACCAAAGCACCCTCAGGCCCAGGAAGACCAACCTTTGTACTGGCAGACCTTCTGGATCCAGGAAAGGGGGTTCACCTTCATCAGCGAGTATGGAATGCTGATGACATGCATCATATTCATGACACTCTGAAATCAACAAATGAACACAAGAGGTAAGCAAGGAGGTGGGGGCAGGAGGGGAGTGTGAGGGGATGGTTCTGTGGCAGGGAAAATGTCTAAACCAAGGCTCAGCAGGTAGAAGAAATAGTCATGAGTGTCTCATGGAGAAACTCAAGGTGACTAACACAGGAAGAGCTTTCAGAGGACAGGTGGATGGCTGATTCACGTGAAGCCCGATACCATCAGGGTGCACCCTAGTATAATCCTTTAAGACAAAGTAACTTCTCAGAGGTTAATTCATCCTCTCTGCTTCTCCTCAACTACTACTGATACAATCAAAGAATTTAATTCCAAACCCTTTTCTTGTTGAAACCTTACACTAAGAGGCACCAAAAGGGCATTTTTCAAAAGAAGGCACACAGAGCTGGAGAGATGGCTTGGTTGGTAGAGTGCCTGCCATGCAAGCATGAGGACCTAGGTTTGGATCCCCAACATCCATGTAAAACACTGGGCAGGTGCCACATGGCTGTAAGTCCAGCACTTGAAGTAGGGAAGCAGAGACAGGGAAACCTGAAGCTCATAGCATCAGCCTAGCCAAGTGGACAAACAGTTTCAGTGTGAGAACCTGTCTCAAAAAATAAAGATACCAGACATCTACCTTTGGCTTCCACATACACATGCTCAGATGTGTACATTCACCCACACACATCTACACTGACAAATACCATACCATATATACCATACCACAGACACAGAACAAAATAAACACAGCATGCTACATATGCCAAAGATAAAAAAGGATAGACAAATATCCAAGTATGAAAAAGTGCTTAGCCTGCCAATCAGGGAACTGGAAATCAAAAGTATACTGAGACAACCTATCACCTCAGCCAGAATGGCTATTATCAAAAAAGAAAGTAACAAAAGATGGTGAGGATGCAGAAAGGGGAAGTCTCAAATAGTATTGGCAGGAATGTACATTAACACAGCCATAGTGGAAAATGGTATGGACATCAGAAAAACAAACAACATAACTACTTTGACTATAAGGTATATTCACAGAGGAACTGAAATCAGCATGCTGAAGAGACACTTGCACTTAAAGTTCACTGTAGCACTATCTGTAACAAGATGTAGATTCAACCCAGGTGTTCATTGATGGATGAATGGATAAAGAAAATGTGATACACACACTGTTTAATATTATTCTGGCACCAGAATGGAACCCTGTCATTTGTTGTAACACAGATGGAACTGGGGGACATTATCTTGGTGAAATCAGTCAGTCATAGAAAGATAAGATACTGCATGGTATCATTTCTATTTGGAGACTAAAATGTTGATCTCCATAAAGTAGAAAATGTAGCAGTGTTAGTAGTAGCTGGAAAGGGGGTTAGGGATGGACGGAGAGAAGGTGGTAAATGTGTACAAGGTACAACTAGATGGGAGGAGTAACTTCTAATACTCCATACATAATCTTAGCCAGAAGAATATTCTACAGCACAGTAGCATAACTAAAGCTGACAAGAATGAACTAATTATTTCAAAACAGCCCCTAGAGAAAATTAAAATGTTTCTGACATAAAAATAATGCAGACAACAGTGATAGATATTCCACTCTACCCTGATCTTTATACATATGTACAGAAATGGCACACAGTACTACATAAAGGTGTAATTGCTCATTACAAACAAATATATAAAAACTCTTACTGAATATTCAATTTTATAGCCTTTCATATTCATTCGGGAAGCCTGAATCTTTTCAAAGTATAATATTTGTCTCCCCAAATTAACTTTGCTAATCATTAGACTGGAAGGCCTGCAACACTGGGGATGTGTCTGAATCATGCTTGAGTTTCCATCTAGCCAGTAGAGATAGAGACTTAAAACACAGTTCCTTCAAGTGGATGATTAAAACAGGCTATAAAAACAGTCAGGGAGTGGGGAGCTGGAGAGATGGCTCAGCTGTTATGATTACTTGCTGTTCTTGCAAAAGAACTGGATTTCGTTCCCAGCACCCACATAGTGTCTCACAACCATCTGTAACTCCAGTTCTGGGGGATCCAACATCCTTTTCTAGCCTCTGGTTGGCTAGGCACACATATGGTGCACTTATATACATGCAGGCAAAACATTCATATACATAAAATAAAAATAAATAAATCTTTAACAAAAACTGGTCAGTACATCCAAGCTGTGGTTAAGACTTAGAGCCTTATAGGCATCTTGGGTCTGCTGCAAAACCTCAAGAATACAGTCAAGCAACATCAAGTCAAATCCTTTCTAGCCTGTTGGTTTTTGTGCATGGAGGCAGAAAGACAGGGTACTGAGCACTGGGGGAGTCACTGCTTCAAAGGAGGAATCTCCAAATGAAAATGAAAGGACCAATACACCCCCACCAGGAATGAGGTCTGAGCAGAACCTGTGTTTTCCCAGCTTCTGGGGGCTTCCTCCCTCTTAGTGCTAGGAACAGGGAGTTTGGAGCACCCCTAGGCTGAGGTAAAGTGTGTGCTGTGATGTGGTCAATTGCCTAGCAGTAGGAGTCAACAAGAGAGACTCACCAATGGGTAACTACTGTGACAGGAGTCCAGAGCAACAGAAGTAAGGTGTTAGGTCAACAAGGGAGGTGAGTGAGCAGAATGGGCAACACTGACAGAGAACTGGAAAGCAAAGCCACAGGGCTAGCACCTAATCAGAACCATGGCACATCCTGCTACTGGTAATAACTAATAGGAACAATGTCTGCTCTTTACCATGTGGTGATGGAACTACACAAGTCAAGCATGTAAGCAGGCTACAGGCTTACTCACCATCAAGCAGCAGCATTCTCCAGTCAACCGTATCAGTCCACTTAACTCAATCAACAGAAGGCTCTTACCAGATGCTAAGGCAGGCCTGAAATCCCAGCTACTAGGGCGGCTAAGACAGGATGAGTCCAAGGTTAAGGCCAGCCTAGGGAACTTACTGAAACTGTCTCAAAAATTAACAAATTTTTTTTAACCTGGTGATGTAGCTCAGCGGTGGTGTTTGCTTTGCATGCATGAGGCCCTGTGTTCAAGTTCTAGAGCTGAAAAAAAGTTTCTTATGCACATGAACATGACACTCACTGGAGTCACAGCTACAGCAGGGAAAAAGACTTGAGCCCAGGTTCCTGGTTCTTTAATATGAGATGTGTTATTTTCCCTTCATACCAGCACATATCAGTGTGGCAGCATTTCAAACTGTTTTTCTGCATCTCAGCTTCTAAGAGTGCCCAGAGGTTAAAAATGAGCCTCAGTGGATTACAGAATCCAGACAGGGCTGGAGTCACAAACAGATCATGTGTAAGACACTTACATGTTCATGGCTCATACAAATTCTGGCTCACCAAGAACCAGCAACTCTAACATCTATATTTATATTCCCATCATTCATGTAAAAATCACTAGGTTTTCTACTTCAGAAAATAAACAGTGCTTAAGCATAAGCAATGACTAAAAATAAAAATGAGTAAAAAATCGCCCTGTATGAAACAGATGTAGAATTCTAAGCACATGCTTTTTTAAGTACCAAGAACACCTTAAAAACCTAATGTCGGGGCTGGAGAGATGGCTCAGCAGTTAAGAGCACTGACTGGTCTTGCAGAGGACCCGGGTTCAATTCCCAGCACCCACACAGCAGCTATGAATCATCCTTAACTCGAGTTCCAGGGGAATCCTAAGTCCTCTTCTGACCTCTGCAGCATCGCACGACAAGGGTGTACTCACATACATTCAGGTAATACGCTCATACACGTAAAATAAGAATAATAAATAAAATATTAAAAAAGACCCTAATGTTGCTTCTCTACTAAACTGCCCATTGTCAGCATGACCATCAGTTTTCAAATGGCACCAACAGTAACGCAAACATCTCTCCATAATGCGTACTGAATTTTCATCTCAAGCACAAGTCTATAAAATCCTTTCTCCCTTGTAAACAATGGACTAGCAGACCCCCTGACTCTTAAAGAAAAACAGTAAGAACATTCTAGCTAGAAGAGGAAAGTGATCCTGACACAGATAAGGCACTGGCAACATTAGCTGGAAATCCTCCAAGGCCAAAAGTAGGGATAAGGACCTTAAATAGGCTACTCTTATAGCCATAACCTTAACATACACATCCAAGGTTCAAGGAAGCAGCTGTTGAGATCAGTAGGCTTTACTGGCTGTTCTTGTAAGCTGGCCGAGCAGGTGACGTAAGACCCTAACACAGCAAGAGGTTTCATGTTTATAACACGGGAAGAAGGCGATTGCCAAAGCTGGGCACATTCTCTTAATTGACATTGTGAGGTAGGAGGGGGACTCACTTACTGTCAATATGCCGTGCCAGAGCCCCACATCCTTCTTGAAGTCTAGAACATTCACAATGGTTTCAGCTGTACAAGAGAAAGAATCAAGTTTTATTTGACATGGTAGAGCAGCACGGATGAAAATGCAAGGAAAACCCATCACCCCAGGGGGCCATTGTGGATCTTGGAAGAATATTTCACTCTGACTTCATAGAAATTCTACAACCATTAACCAGACCACTGGGAAGCGCTGGCCAGGCTGGAGAGTGTTTCCAGGAAGCAAGTAAACAGCAATAGCTACCCCTATTACCATTGAAAAACATCTCACCACATCAGATGTGCTAGGGTAGGCCTGTGATCCTAGCACTTGGGAGGCTGAGACAGGATGGTTACAACTTTGAGGCCAGGGTTACACAGTGAGACCTCCAAAACACTACCCAAACCCCAGAAATCCCAAATACCTCATTACCTTTCTGTTCCCTCTTCCCTGCCATTTTTCTTTCAGAGAGCTATCTTCACTTCTCTCCCATGTGTACCCCTAACAGGAAAGTAAGCCTTACATTGGAGGAGGCAGTTAGGCTTTGGCAAGGTACAGGCCTGTACTGTCCTGTCAGAAGTCTTCAAGGATGGCAGAGATGAGACAATAAAGGACATGAGAGATGTAGAGAAAGGGATGGAAGAATATCCAAGAAGTGTGGGGATGATGGCTCCAACAAACGGGAACGAGCAGGAAAGATGCTGTAGAAGCAGACAGTTGAGAACGACTACTTCCACGGATTGAGGGAATGAAGCTAGACCACTTGGCACTGATGATTTTAGACCTTCATTCACAGACACTTGTCAGTTAGCTTCCGTTGTCAACTTGACACACAGTCCTCAACTGAGGAATTCCCTCCATCAGATTGGCCTATGGGCATGTCTGTGGGGGCATTTTCTTGATTGCTGATTGATGGAGGAGGGCTCAGCCCACTGTAGGCAGTGCTGAAGCTGTTCCTATCAACCTGGGTGAACAGGAGTTTCAGTCCCATACACACAGGCTTCCTGGCCACTTCTCAGTGCTCCAGGTATTTACCAATGTCATGACTCATGACATCCTCAGTCCTTGCAATGTGCACAGAAGGCTTAGCATCCTATCTCCTGTTCTGTCAGGGACTACAATGTGGAGGTGAACCAAGTAGATGACCTTCTGAAACAAAGATGGTTAAAGAAAATATCCTAGATTCCCTTTTATTCAGGAATTCATAATTATAGAGAAATTTTATGTATGTATGGATTTATATTTGCTTCCAATACCAAAAGAATAGTAGCCCTTAATCAAAGCATGTAGGCCAGGGACACAGGTCACTATGTTTTGACAAAGAGGATGGGTGAGGATTAGGGGCCATGTGTCTCCAAGTATGAAAAGATCCATGGACCAAACAGTAGCAGAATGTGTCTGGGAGACAAATTGTTCTTTAAAAGGGCAAGGATGGGGAGATTATGTGAACAGTAGGAAAAAAATCTCACTTAGAAGTAGAGATTGGGACCACTGCTGGCTTTGTTCCTAGAAAGCTGTGTCAGTGTAGAGATGCCTGCTGTGACCATGCCTGTACAGGCAGCTGAGGTGACAAGCCAGAGGCTCTTGGAGGAACTGCTTCAGTCTTTTCTTCTCTGCAACCACTCAAAGCTGTTACCATGGTCATGCCTACTCACCCCACTTCTTTGCCTCATATAATCATATCTAACTCAGAAGAAACACACCGGCGAAAGAACTGTCCTCCATTGCATAAGCCCGGGGTGCTTAGAAAATTCATTCTCAGAACGTCTCAAAAATAGTGAGGAGTGGGCTAAAACAAAGAACTTAAAAAAAAAAGCTTCTAAAGATACATAGTCATATGTGGGCAGGGATGAACATTGGTGGTGCTAACAGTGAGATGAATTATGCATCTCCAAATCCACATGGTGAAACTCTACCCTTCTTATGAGACCAGGCCTTCAAGGAAGCAGTGGATATTAAATAAGGACATAGGGCGGAGCTCTAACTGGCATTCTTATAAGAAGACCAGAAAACTCTCGTGCAGGTACACACATAGAAAAGGCCACATGAGGACACAGCAAGAAGGTACCATCTAGAAGGCTGGCAGAAGGACTTTGCCAACACCTCCTCTGACCAGCATTATGATCTCAGATTTTCAGCTACAGCCCCATGCCTATGGTCTATGTCAGTCCAAGCTGATACACTAGCTCTACCATTGAATAAATTCACAATCAATGAATGGATGGAGTTGGGTACAAAGGAATGCTACTTTGATGAGTACCAACAGGAACTACACATGCTGGCCTGTCCTCAGGCATCCCTGGTCAGTGGGACATCTCCAGGACCCTAGATCCAAGGGAGTCTTGAGGGCATCCACACCTTCTGTATAGCCGCAGGCCTGTGTGAGAGCCTGGCAGTGTGTCAGGAGTGCAATTCTTGTCACGGTCACCCCAAGGACGCTTCCATCTTTACACGTCTTATACTGAAACGAGACAGAAAGCATAGAAAAAGCATTCCTCACTTGACAGCTTATCTAGTTATTTGAGACACTGTAAGTGTCTCAGTGTTGGATCTGGTGTGATGATTATAGATGCACCTGTGTTCCCAGTGCACACATCCAGACCCCGTGGAAGGATGGCATCTAGCTTACCTCAATATAAGCTGTATCGTTGTTCGCATCTTTGATGTGTGGAAACCAATCTCGAGGAGGTTTAGAGAGGTGTTTTGACTCTGTGACAAACCACAGCAGCTTTGGCCAACCTTAGAAATAAACCATAAATTCCTTTTAAGTAAAGAGAACCTAGAAAAGGGAGCTGTAGAATTTTTTTCTCTCAGTTCACATGGCATACTTTCAAATAATACTTCATCCTAGATGGAATCTGTGGGGTTCCCATACGTCATCAAATTAAAGACAACATCAGCAGAAGAGTACCCAAGACACTCCCTGCCACATCATGTCACCCCACAGGTTATGAGCTGCATATGTTGTCACAAACGTTGACACATGAGAAAAGCCATGTCCTGGAACTGACAGGGCATTATTCCACAAAAGAAGAGCCAGACTGAATGAAAGAGGTGAGGGGGAAGCGAGCTCTCAGGAGCTCTGTGGCATACCTTTGAATTGTGGAATCTCTCCTGTTGGGCTTTTTGGAAGTCCTTTGTGACAGGCATCACTAGTCAGGGCAACGGTAACTCCACAGCTTCCAAGCAAGAAACCTATCTGCTGGCTCCCTGCATCCTGAGAGGTGACCAAGGGGACAGTTCAGACTCCAAGACAAAGCTCTATTCTGGCAAATACACTGTCTCACCAGGTTTCTCTCTGAATATGGCATTCACTGATTTAGCTAGGTCAGCTGGCCAGCAAGCCTGAGATCTTCTTGCCTCTGCCTCCCCTGCACTGGGATTAAAGATATGTGCTACCGTTCCCACCATTTACTTGGAACTGAACTTGCATAGCCAGCACTTTAATGACTGAGCTAGCTCCCCAGTCCTCTTGTTTCTTTCTGAATAGTAACTACTATTCATTCAGGGTATGTGACTAGGAGTTTAGAGAACTGAGATCAAACCTCAAGTGTAACACTTGCAAACTGTATGACTTTGAGTTGGCTAGTTACATTGTGTGAACTCAGTGTCTTCCTCTGTAAAACGAGGTTTTATTAAAAAGTCATCCAGGCTTGCTTTCAAAGATGAAAAAGCAGAGTCTATGCCAACTGCTCATCGAAACACTCGTATTTTCTTCCCATTATATAACACTATGATCCTAATGTTTCATTATTGTGGAGAAGAGAATGGTCAATGAAAATATTTTATATCTATCACACAAACATCTAGCACCTGATTTTCACATGCTCAGAGACTAAAGTTGAAGATGTCATACATGGTGGGATGCGCCAGGCAGAACCATCTTCACCCAGAGGAGTGATGACTCAGCCCACCTTTTCCCACCTTGAGTACCACACGTCTCAATGGAGTAACCAACACATACTAAAATGGACTATGGATATAGGGCAATAACTGTCGAAACAGACAGTCCAGAAAGTCACCAACTTGCCAGCACTAAATGTCACCTTTCAGCAGACACCACAGATGGGGTTGTCCCTCATTACAGCAGCCATAGGAGCTGCCACTCTGTGTGAGCTTTATTGCCTCTATTCTCAGCTTGCCTCTCAGGAAGACAGAAGAACAGCCCAGTCACCTCAGCTCAACTTCTCTCCCACCAGCCTGGCTGCTGTGCAGTTGACTTAGAAAGTAAACTCAAAGCCTCAGGGTAACCAACACTTCTGGAACTAAACACAAGTGTAGAGAAGGAGTCCTGGCTGGACCCCCATGCTGCCCCGCATGAACACTCAACTTGAGCCCATGAACAGGCCCAGGAAACCAATGAGCAGAGTGCTTTCACCTGGGTAAGTTAATCAGCACTAACACCTCAATGCTGTTGCTTGGTATGTGTTTTGCTTAAAATCTAAAGTCCCCTTAAAGGAATTTTCATACAGTACCAGCCAACAAGCTAATTGCATAACTGACACAGCCCTGCAACGGAAGAGGTGGTTTAGACCTCAGTAGATGGAGGTCATTCCTGATTTCTGAGACATTTTTGTGGGGCTTTTTCCTGTTGCAACACTTTTTCAAGTGAAGTCACGATCAGGTACTGCACTGTGTATTTGATTATCACCTTAGCAAGCACTGCTGCAGAGATGAGGCAGTCAGGCAGATGAGGTAGGTTTTTAGCAGCAGGAAGCCAGCCCTTTCCTAAGCTTCTGAATGCCCTGCTGAGTCAGGCACACACCACAGCTGTCTCCCAGTGGGGAATGATTGGGGTCAGAGTTTCCCACAGCCATAAGCAGCATCCACACAGACATTGACTACAGAGTGTGACACTCTGACCTTGGGTCTAAAGCCAAGAATCCACTCTCCCCTGCACTTGATCTTAATGTGCATATGTGATTTAATCCCCCACAAGCAATAAACTTATGTACATAAATAGGCCCCTAAGAGCTGGGAATCTAGTTCAGTTGGCAGAGCACTTGCCTGGCAGTGTATGAAGCCCTGGATTCAATCTGTAGTGCTAGGGAGCATGGGGAAGGAGGAGAGGTGGGTGAAGGGAAAGAGAAGTGGTGAGGAGGAGGAAGAGATCCCTACAGTACAAGAGACTGGAAGCCACATGGTGGAAGGACTAAGAAGCTAAGGCTGCAGTCAGCACAAAGCACAGTCCCCAAATGTTCCTCCTATTCTACAAAGTCCCTCTCCAGAGTTCATCAGATTTCAGCTTCAGAGGACCTCCTTGCCAGGCCACTGACAGCCCCTCAAGGCAGCACTGAAAACACAGGCTAGAGCCAGCCTCACTTACAGCCAGCCTTCTACATCCAACACCCAATAAAGACAGTGAGATGAGGTGATGAACTCCAAGCAGGCTACATCAAACCAAAAGGCAAGCACAGAACTTCTTGGCCTCATAGGCTCTGCTCATGACCCAAAGACAGGATGCTTGGCTCCATGCTCCATGCAGCGGCAATGGTTGCTCACAGTCCACAAGATCTCTGGAGAGGTAGCTGCCTCCATCTGGCTGGATGGGAGGCCAAGGCAGGGAATCAGCCACCATATCTCAGGATGTGAAGCAAGATGAATCCTCCTAGGCACACTCTACATCTGTCAAATGTTTTTTTCCCTAAAAGCAAGCATGGCTCTAGCAGGCAGCTTCTTTCTCAGATAGGAACAGACACGTAGACACACTCAGAGGTGGGGCATGCTTGTGCTGGGACTACCTCCCCAGCAACACTGCACCAGCAAGGGCAGGAGATGCTAACACCCTCTATCATGAACTTTGTTTATAACTCTTTTTTCCCCTCTGTTGAAGAAACATAAACAGGAACTTGAGCTTAAATCTTTCACTCAACTTTGAAAATTCTCTAATGCAGAAAGGGCTGACTGATTATGTATCACTGTCTAGAAAGTCCTTCCTTATGTGTGGCCTCTTTGGCAGTAACTCTTCACATCATCACATCAGACAGATCAGTATGGCTATGTCCCTAGACCACTGTCCACCCCATTCTTGGACAAGTGTTGACCAGAAAACTCTGATACACCACAAGAGGATCCCCTTTCTTCCATGAAGCCATTTCAGACTCAAAGCCTTCAAATGACTAGTAAAGACATCTCATTCCTTATCTACTCAAACTGCTGACTTAATGGTCTGTTAGCTCTCAGGAGATGGTATAAGAGAAAAATGGGAAGGTGTAAAGAAGAAACCAATCTCAACTGTTTTACTCTGCATAGTCAACACAAAACACGTTGCACATGGTTAAGTTCAAAGACAATTATGGTATGGAGCAAGAGACTGCCAAAAGAAATTTTTCTTTTCACTAAGAGGGATCAATTAATGATCTTTCTGTAAACCAATTTTAACTGTATTTATAATAGAAAATTTCAAGCACAAAGATAGAAAAGAAAAAGAAATCTTCCATGTGCCCCATCCACCATCAATAATTATCAATATTTGGCCAAGCTCTTCAATTATCCATACCTGCACACAACTGCATGCCCAAACATAATATATCACACAAGGAGCCTAGCACTTGCATATACACAAAAGAGTACACACACATGCCCAGTACATACGTGTATGCACACACTTACATAGAACACTTGCACATGTCCTAGAACATATGAATGCGAATCTCAGATGTCTGCCATAATATAAACAAAGACACTTCCGGGACCTCCTTTCTGGAGCCCCTTCCTCACCTGGGACGCCATTGTCTCCTCACTGCCCTCAGCAGTTGCACTTCTCACTTCCACTCCTCCAATCTCAAAATGCCACCCTGACTGTTCTCATAAACTGGTAAAGCCACAGTGAGACTCTGACATCACTCCTTCCAGAGGTTTGATTTGAAAAGGTATTTAGAAACATTCATTTATTGCACTCCCCCCAACCCCTTAAACAGGGTCCACACTGTGGGCCCACACTGGTCTCAAATTTGAAGGCAATGCTTCTGTTTAGTGCTGGTATTACAGTGGAGAGCCATCATGCCCAGCTTTTGAAACCTGTATGAACACTCACAAATATGATTAGAATTAGGAGCAGGGCAGACATCCCCAGTGACAGACACAAGGGCTCAGGTAGCAACAGCTCCCTGTGGCTGTTTTGTAGCTACTCGAGTTGCAGCGGAAAATGAGTCACTAGACCAGATCCTGGCAGTCTTAGTTTCCTACAGCCTAGTGGGCCTGTTCTGTCCTGCTATCCCTGGATGACAGGCACACAGTTGGATGCTTCATCCTGGAAGCCTGACTGGGTCTCTTCAGTTGCTATCACTTTGTACCCAGACTATCACACCTGTGGCATAGCCTTTGGTCTTTGGGTACATCCATCCCAGCCTAACTCTGCAGGTTACCAAACCCTGACAGTCAGAAATAAGGACAGGCCCAGGAGATGGTTATAGTCATTTTCCAGATGTATAGTAACAACTCAAATCCCAATAACAAGGGTGTAGGCTGACCTCTTGTCCCCTCCTTGCTCTAACCAAACTACCATAAGGCCACTGATTTCCCTTGGTATAATTTCCCTCTCATTCCCAGGATTCAATAAGAAATGAAAAGCACATGGGAACTAAGTTAGTTAGGCATTAAGCACTCTTTAGGATTTAGAATAAGGAGCATTCAATAGGGCCTGTGAGGCAACTGTAGTGGCTACTGAGCAGGGAGATGGAAGGAGGATTTGTGTTTCAGTTTCTCACCTATACTTATACACTGATGGTCCCACTTAGAATAGTACCTGAACAAGAGCTTCAGTTCAAAAGAAGCTCAAGCTTCACAAAGACCAATGGCTGCCACGTTCTATAGGCACAGTCATTCAAAGACAACTTAGAACTCGTAACAGGTGCTTGAAAGCAAGCTCAGTTAGGGAAATGCAATCTGAAAGAATAGTAAGGCTACTCACATCTTTTGGACTGGCTTTTATCAAACAGGAGAACACTAACAGGTGATGGCAAGAATGTGGAGAAACGTGAACCCTTGCACACTGTTGGTGATGCTGAAAAGCACTAGTAATTCTGGGAAATGGGATAGAGATGTACCAAAAAACTAAAACTGGAGATGTTGAAGCCCTGCATTAGAGATCAGCAAGTCATCTTAGATTGCGGAGCAGTGTGTAAGTATTGGCATCTTATGGTGAGTTTCATGCTAAAGATAATAGCAAATTTAGTCATTTTAATTACAGAATAAGCTCTGATCAATCGCAAGTAAACCTGGGATTTTATACCATAGAGACTGAACCCAAACAAGAAACATCATCCACAATCAAAACAAGGTAAAGAGCTATCATGTTCCTGGCTTTCTAGTGCAGTGATACTGAGGAATGAGATGATACTTCAGAGACTGAGATAAGACAGCTCCACACTGTGCTAACAAATACAGTTATGCTCCAACCTTTGGGAAGTCAAACACCTAGCAGGGGAGTCATGCTGTGTGTGTGAATAACTGTTCCCCTAATGGAGAAAGCTGGTGAAAACCTGTTCTGTACCTCAGAAATGGTGAGAACATGTCACCACGCTCTGAGCCACATCCAGTAGAGATAAAAAGCCATTTATAAAACTGCCATCTGCACATTTGCACCCAGCACACTCAACTGCCATTGAGCCTGTTGTTTCCTTCAAATGGGCTTAATGAATGATGAATTCTCTTTACCTTTCTTGTAAGTGGCACTTCGATGGGAACAGGAACAACTTCAGCCAGCAGGCAACCGTAGAAGGCCACCATGAATGCAGCAGGGTCATTGTTGGGGAACACCAGCGCTACCTGGAGGCACGGGCCAGACACAGAGAGGAATTGCAACATAATACATGCAGCATGAATACATCTGTTTTTCTAAGACCCAAAAGCAGAATTTATCCTTCCAAAGACTGGAGGATGAAAATGAAAGAGCTGGCATGGTGGAATAGGCCTTCAATACCAGTATTTAGAAGTGGAGGCAGGAGGATGTATTAAATTTGTAAATGTGAGTGTATTAAATTTGCTCATGATAGCCATTTGGCAATACAGGATAGTTGGCAGACACAAAATTAAGTTCTAGAATACATGATGACTTCTCTCCTTTATGGCTAGAAAATCAGCTATATAAGAAAATCATAGAAGGAACAAGAAGATGTATTAGTTCACTATCGAGTCCAGCCTTGGCAGACAAAAGAAAAATGAGGAGGAACCCAATAGAGGGATGTTTTTGGAAACTCTCATCAAGAAACCCCAATGGACTCTGATGTAAACATTTGAAATTTCCCCTGTTCTGACTTTTTTTCTGGTTTCCTGTCTAGAACTTGTAATGCTAACTACTCTTGCCTTTACTTCTCCTTCACATCTCCCAGGTACTAGTCAAGGATTTTCTTTTCTCCCTACAGATAAGAGTTATACAATTTGGGAGTCTTTTAGATAGACCCACTGAAGGGGTACCCCAATTGCCTCACCCTGCATTTCTGTTCAGCATGGAAGAAACCAGAGCTGTCTGTGTCCCGACTCCCTATTGGCAATTTGGGTAACCCCTTCAGAGGATGGTGTGATAAGAATAGGAGGTAGGAATTGCCTAGGCAATTAGGGTAAAAAGACCCCAAAGTGAAGTAGCCAGTCTCTTGTCTAAAAGTCAAAATGTCTTTGGGCCACTTAGCATGTTCCAAAGGCCAAAAATGACAAAAATATTTGGGAGCTCTTATCTAATCCCTAAAAGGATTTTAGGGTTTCCTCTTCGGGGGGGGGGTGTTAGACTAGCAAAAAGCCCCAGTTTCGAAAGAAAGAAAGAAAGAAAGAAAGAAAGAAAGAAAGAAAGAAAGAAA